TATGCATCCTTGGACAACTCTGAGGCTGGGAGGGGAGAAGCAAAGGGAAGTTCCCCAGCTGAGAAAATGTTCTTTCTTTTTGAATATTTCTTTTTATATAAAAAGGAACATCTGCTGATCATAGGACTATGCCACAGCTGATAAGAGCCCTCAAAAGAAAATGGAAAAAAAAGTATTTCTTTGCTTTCTTTAATTCACCAGTCAAAGACAATAAAAGAATAAAGCCTGATTTAAGTCCCTAATTGGAGGAGGAGAGATGTTGCCGCTTAAAGCATACAACACCAAGATTATTTACCTGGGTTCTCCGTTTTGTATTGGGTTTCGTTGGGAAGGCATGGTGATTTAATCAGGACCACCCAGCTGCCACCCACAGCAGTGGCTAGGACAGGTAGATAGTAGTCTCATTCAGTGCAAGGCAATGGCATTTTAATGCTACTTAATAACTGACGTTAGATTTATGGGCTGTTTTGCACCTGTGCAATTGTTAGCATTGCTTGTCATCCTCAACTGCCTTTCTAGCCCCCCATAGAGAATGAATATGCCCAGATATAGACAATATCTTGGAAAGCACATGATGTTATGTTCCGTTTATGTTATCTTTACTTTGGTAAACTCAACCCATTCTTATTTCCACTTATTATTTTGATATTCCCTTTTATCTATGAATGAAACAAGTGAACAACTATCAATTTATGAGGAAAAAATTGCTCAGTGTCAGCTTTGTTGTGCGTATTTGTTTCTTCAGTTTATACAATAAACTTGCATGTTTTGAAAGACTCCAGAGAGAGAGAGAGAGAGAGAGAGAGAGAGAGATACCTCAGGGTGAACAATTTGAGTTTCAAGTTTATTCCTGACTTTCCTTTACATGAAAATAATGGATTAAATGAGAACGTAATCAGTTGGCTTTTGATAACAGTTGAGTCAGCAAGTTCCTCTCCTAGCTCAAGAGGAGCCTTTCTTTATGCTGAACATGTACATTTATAAATAAAAGAAAACAAGCAAAACATTTCTCTGAATAAAAATATCCACGGTATCAAATAGTCAGACCACTGAATGGATAGCCCCATTATTGTAAAGTGATCGCTTCCATGTACAAACTGTACATTCTTTAAACTTTTCCAAATATTACGTGCCTAATTTTAAGAAAGCATTTTCTGCAACTTCTAGGGAAATTATGCACTTCTGTATCTTCTTTTTTTGGAATTGTTGCGTTTGTTTTTGGCTGATAAAAAATATACATTGGTACCTATTTTTAATTAAAGTCAACATTATATAGTTTCCATTCCTGAAATACTTTCACTGCTCAACATCATCTATCTCCTTTATTTTATTTCTTGTATTAGTCAGTATATTATTATATGTATTACAAACCTATTGGTCATCAAGTGCAGTAGGAAAAAAAAATGCTAGCTAGAAACATAATCTGATAAATCCCCTATAGAGGAGACATAAGCCACAATTCCATATATCAGCTCCTTCTAATTTAGCAACTAACATTTATTTAAGCATATATTTCCTTGCATTCCATTCAATACAAGGAAACTGAAAAAGCTTTAAAATAAAATTATTTAAAATCTGTTGCAGTGAGGGCAGGGTACCGTTTATTTTACCAAAGGAGCCCACAGATCTGAGCACCATGTGACCTCATTATCCTAAACAGAATTTTGTAAATAATTTGTAGAACACCCATGATGACTGCTGTAGAAATTCATTTATCTGTATGTCAGTCCTCATTTTCCAGATCATGTCAGATTTTCTGTAGCCAATGAATAGCCAAAATATAGTGATCTCATGGAAGGAAAACATTTCATTACTGTTTAGTGTAGCCAAGTGATTATGCATAGAATTGCTGCCAAATCTCATATTACTTGTTTATTTATTTTGGATAACTCTACACTGAATTTTTAGCCAAACCCTTAGGTATTTTAGATTATAAATACTACAAATTTTTATATCCCCAAGACAATATTAAAATGTACTACAACAGTAGCCTTCCTCAACCTGGGCACTATCTAGATTATTTATTTATTTGATTTTTGATGCCACCTGACTTCAACCGACTCTGAAATTTAAAGTAAAAAAGTAAAATTAAAAAGACCCATTGAGACAAAGTCAGAAAATGACAACACAAAATCAGGTAAATAAGAATACATTAAAAAAAATTAACACATGTACCTCAATTTCAAGATAATTACAAGATAATTGGAAAATTGCAACCCAAAGAACACATACCGAAATGTCCATATTATCAGAATGCAGACTAGTCATTTTGGGAGCTGAAGTCCATGTGTTTGGGAAAAAGCCAGATTAAGGAAAGTAGCACAAGCATATGGATGCTACAGCAAAAGAAGCAAAGAATTGTTAATCAAAATACTTTGCTAGAAGATTGGAATATGCTTCTGCATTTAAGGATGGACTTGTCATTTGAGAGGCAGATATATGTCTCATTATTATGAGGTCTATCAACAGGCTTTTAGCAACCACTTACAAGGGTTAGGGCAGAAGTATGCATGCAGTTTTCTACTCTGTGTACAAAAATATGTTGCGCAGAGACCTTCCTTGTGAGAATGGAAGGTTTGCTGTGGTGTTTCAGGCAGCAACCTGCCTTGGGCTGGCCTAGTGAAAGCTGTATGTCTCCAAGCAGCAAGTGTGAGTTTGTTCCATACAGAGATTTGGTTGAGCTTCAGGGTCTGTCAATGTTAGCACAAAAAGGTCTGCAGTCTGATTATTTGTAGCTGTTCATAAAACCTCACCTAGTTTTTCAAGTACCTGAAAGGCATTTTTCCCCCCGCCCAAAATATGCTGGGGAAGGTTCAGTCATTCCTATTTCAAGCCCTTTGATTCCAGGGCCTCTAGTTCTGTAAACCCAAAGATTTTACTATAGATGTGCAAAGGGATGCTTTGTAAAGGTTGTGATTGTGAGTGAGGTATATTCAAAATGTCCCAAAATATCTGGATTCTTTGGAAACCTGCCCTGAAAGCTGTTGCAGGCTGCCTATGTATAAAGATAACTGCTTCACTTTATTGGGGGTTTCAATAGAAGTGTTGCAAGCCTTTCAAAGGATGCAGCTGCTTTCATATTTATTTCATGATTGAATCACAAGAGCCTTCTGGAGTGGGTGACCATTAATTATTATTTTTATTATTTGGTACACAAAACTCAGGAAGGTTTATAACAATACAGGGAGAAAGCTTCATTCACATGCAGTGTGCTTTCCAAAAACCCCTTTCAAATATTTTTCATAGTCATAATGTTACCTAAAATATGTGAATGAATATGCAGTGAATAAATCTGAATAAAACAATGTGCACTTAAGAAGCAGAATTCTTTGATATATGTTTAAGAAGTGGCATCAATATTATCAAATTAAATTTCCTAATTGACACAAATTGACACAAACATAAAATAGTTTTCTACCATTTCTGTTTAGAAACGTATGGTAGGAGACATCTTTGAGAGTCTGTCAGATTTGACAGGGTCTCAATGAAGTCTCCTACCATACGTTTTTAAACAGAAATGATAGAAAACTATTTTATATTGAATTGAACTATTGTAAACCCGCACAGTATAATAGTTTAAATAAGCTGGGAATGAGGGTATGGCTTGAATTCCTAGGAAAATATACAATATAATAATGAATTAAGTAAAACAGAATGATACAGAATAACCAAATAAGGAATATTAAACAAAGTCAAAAGTACACTTTTAATTTTGATACCAGAAGAAGAGAGAGAAGGGAAGAAGCACATATTTTCTGCTGGCAATGTATATAAACAGTAATTTGTTTTATATTGCCTAATAAACAATAAATATAGCAATATTAATAAATATAGAAATGAGACAATTGGGGAGGTTGTTGAAAGAATGAAAACCCATCACAGTAAAAGATGGTAGGAAAGAGACAATGTCTCTTCTGTGACACTTTATAACAGAAACCATTTAAAATAAATGTAGTTATATTTTAAACTGAACTGATTGCTTATTTTGCTTTTAAAATGAGCTGAAATAAGACCAAAGATAAAATGAACACAGCCGTGTTTATTATGGAGCCTTTCCCCTCACTTCCAAGGGTTGAAGTGTTGATGGATACTCAAGATCCCTCAGATAACTCACTAGTTGTGCAAGGACAACTCCAATTTCTTGGAGACCAGAAAACTCCCTATGGGTTCTGGTCCTAGCTGATACCTGTTCAATATACCTGGGGAATAGAAAACTATTTTTTAATTTAATAGGCTGCCTTCTTTGTAGCACTGTTGGATGCATGTATATAAGGACCTTTCTTCATCTTTTCCTCATAAAGTTTTCGAAGAGAGATTAAGTCAAGCTATTAAGCTTATCCCAACAATCAACTGGGACATAAATCTGGATCTTTCAGCCCAACGTCTTAATCACTGTACTCCCATGGGATCATAAAGGCAACTTTATTGGTATATATTTAAACTGAATATGAATTATGAAGCTGCAGATCATAATATGCATACTATTGAATTTCCTGATATACCTACATTTAAAGATAATGTTATCTGCTTTTAAAAATATATGCACCCATAATATACAATTTTACAAATTAAGTTAGCCTACCTTCTCTTTTTGGATAAAACATTCCCAAATTAATACCCGTCTTGAGAAGAATTGGTGTTTTTGTGGAGAGCTGGAGTTGAGAATGCTGTAATGAATCTAAGGAATTGTTTTCATTTCTGCTGTCTATGGCACTGCAAAATCTATTTTGGCAAGTAACCCTGAAATCTGTGATGTATCTGTGATATACTTCCCTAAGCTTTCTGCATGATCAGTTTGCATACACATAGCACACAAGGATGCTTCAAGTGTCATGAAGCCAATGATGTGTAAATGAATGGAACCAGTGAGAAACTGTAAAACAGTGGTTAAGAATGCATTTCCTCAACATTTTAACAAATATTATTTTGATGTATAACCATTACGGCCATCTTGAATGCAGATTCATAGTTGATGTGCTCCTCCTGTTTTTTATATTCAGATTCACATCTGAGGGACAGCCCTCATCTTTAAAGTACTACTAAGAGATGGAAAAAGGTGAAAGTACAGTGCAGATGACTTCCTACTGTCCTGACATACATTGCTGTTGTATATGTTGGTAAGTCTTTGCAGAATATAGCTCACATATTAGGTCACCTTTTATAGAGCTATGAGCCAGGCAGACTTTCAGAATAGAAACAGGAAATAAGAATTGAGATAATAAGTACTTTGCTCTTAAATGTTTGACATGCGTCAAGCTTCTCTGAAGACCATTTCTGAAGCTATGGAAAATCTGATGACAGGAAGAAATATGACATAGGCATGTATAATAAAAACAAAAACCATTGAAAGCATTGCAGGGTTCCACTGAAAAGTATGAAACAAATATTTACTGTGAAAAAGTGAAGTAGGCTAGTTGGGTGTAAATATGCTCTGTCCCTAAGATTGCTTAGGGATTGGCTAATTCACTTTTGAATTCACCCCTATCAACATCGTCCTCATGGACAACAGCTTAACTGGACTTTTAATCATTGGAAATAAGAGCTGTTGCTCCAGTTTGGTGGGGGGGGGGGGAAGGGAAAGGTGAGAAATGTTAAAACTATCTTATCTTTTTGCACATCTACCCATTACAGAGGTGGTTTAGAATATATGATGGCTGTCCTTTTAGTCCAAATGATTTAAATCTGGGGCTGAAACCATGCAAAGATTTGTTTGAATAAGAAATTCATGTTTTCTTTGGATTGGATGGAAGAAGGCATAATTATAGTGTTGCAAATGTGATGCTCTGCTTAACAAACTGTCAGCATTTCCAGAATAAACCTCTATTTTCAGGGGGTTAAAAACATTGCCAGAACAGAAAAAAAGGGGAGGTGGGGGGGGGAGGAGGAAGGAAGGGCTTCTGGTCTAAACTTTGGCAGCTATATTTAAACTGGTAGGAAGATTTTATTTTCAGTCAGATATTTATATATAATAGATGACACATACGACATATTAATTTGCAAAGAAATCCTTCTCATGTTCACCAGATATTTATTTATTTTGTAAAGAAGGGGAGAATCACACTTCATTTCAAAAAGGGATCTTATTCTGATGAAAAGGTTCCAGTCCTCTGTATTTTTAGGAGTGGCAGAAGCATGGTTATATCCAGGAGCCAGGAATCTATGGGTTCCTGTTCTACCCACCAACTTCTTGTGTGGCCTTGGGCAATATGCTTAACTCTGTAACATCTCGACCTACACAGTAGTTGGCTTCATTCCCTTCTGTGCTCAGCAGCACATAAACAGGACTGCTTGTCCATCATGGCTGCATTCGTTCTGTGGTTCTGAGATGGAATGCCCCCTTGCTAAAACTGCAGACTTTTTCATCACGTATGGAGGTGAAATTTAATGGGAACAGGAAAGAACATTAGCGAGCACAATATGCGTTAGGCTGTTTTATTGTCTCAGGGCAATTAGTGGAAGAGGAAGGGGCAAAAACTAGTATCATCAAAACAGGCTAGTGAGTTTAGGTTTTCCTTAGGATTCTCCTAACTCCTACTATTAGTTAAGCTGCATTTCTTTAACCAAAGGCCAATAAACAACTGTCAGCATAGCTGACTGAAAAATTCAGTTAATTAACAAGTAGATTTATTTCATAATTGTACTAGTTAGTAAGCTTAGTAAATTACTGATCTTATCAAAGCTGTTTTAAAATCTCTTGCATACTTCCTCAAATTAGGGGAGTCTACATTTCTAGTGAATTTTGCTTGAAGTGAAATGCAGTGGCAAGGGAGAAATGTATGGCCACTCCCTCTCTTTTCACAAATTTATTTTGAAGCAGGAATCTCTGAGGTCAAACTAATATAATTTCAGGCACCATATGGTATCAGCTTGTACTTGCATATTTTTACATAATTAGTCTTCTCTGGACCATAAAATGGGCAATAAAAAGTTTTTTTTTCTGGCCTAGGATTGTTAATGTTAGCTGTGTATATTGCTTGCTGCTTGTCCCTTCCTCAGCAGCAAATGTTGCACCAGTGGCTTCTTTCTCAGGGTGGTTTTACGAGCCCAAATTCTGATGAAGCCAAAGTCTTGCATTTTACACAATATTTAGTGATGTTCTGCTTTCCTGGCAGGAAGCTGCAAGCTGCAAGACATCTTAGTAAAGTGATTGCAGACACATAATTATAGGCCTTGTACAGCAAACATTGTGGTTATCTGGATGGATTTCACTCCATTATTTTCATCATATTGTAATGCTTATTTCTAGAGCTATATTGTATGCAGCAACTCTCCCTTGTCTCCTCTATTTAGCAATTGCAGCAAAAATAACTTCTCTAATATTCACAGTTTAGATCATTATTAAACTAGTTAATTCTCCTTTCCATCATGAGATTTGGAACTTAGTCGATTATTACCAAACTCATGAATATTTGAAACCACTGTAAACCACAGAGAGTTAGCATGGCAAACTAGTCAGTGGTGGGATTCAAATATGTGAACAACTGGTTCTCTGTGGGGATGCTGCTTCCGGAAGTCCATTCTGGGCCTGGGCAACAAAAAATTAGCTATTGGTTCTGCCGAACTGGTGCAAACCAGATGAATCCCACCAATGAACATAGTACTATTTTAAATGGCAAAGCTAATGTCTATCATGTTTAACAACCAGCTATACTCATTGGCCAAGATATGACTTTAGCAGGATATAGGATAAGGCCAAGGAACACACACTCCATAGGCAGCGTTGATGAATTTGGGGATACTCAACTAAGTTCCAAATCTTATGATGGATTTAGGATTTTCTACAACTCTAGATTTACTAAATAACTAAGACTCATTTAGTAGCTGCAGTGGGGGATTAAGAAAAGTTAGTCTAGTTTCTTACATTCATAAAAATCAGATAATAAAAGAGAAACAATATTTACCATAATTTCTAAAAGGCAAAGTGTTTGTAATGCCAAACTATCTCTCAGAGGAATGGTTTCTATTAATCTGACATCTGCAGTCTTGATGAAAGATGACATGTCAACTCTGTCAGTGTCATGCAGCTCTGTAAGACACATTTGCACAAATGATGCAGATATCACTGTACAATAACAAAAGGAGATCACCAAATCTTGTTGGTGATGTCTAGGAGACTGACATCAATATTTTATGCCCATGATATCAGAAGCTTCTAGGCAGAAAATAACTGCATGATTATGTAGTCCTGCCTCTCCCCCCTCGCCCCCTCCAGCCTCTTGGCACTTACCAATTAAGATCAGATTTTAAGGGAGAATATTTGTAGCTCAGCGTTGAAATGATGGGTCCTTGGTGTTCTCTGAGCTTTACTGTTTTCTTACAGAGGTTTCATTACCCAAACATTATCCGTGCTAATCAACACCATCACGGATGATGTTACCTAGTTTGAGTAATGAAATGTGTATAAGAAAACAACTAAGCTCAGAGAGCACCAAGGAACCCTCAGATCAGATTTTTTTTCACCAGCTTTCTTACTCAACAGTAGCAGCAGTTCTGGCTGTTTGGACAAACTATTTCCCCTCATCTCATTTTATGTTTCTGTTGATGTCCTCAGTGTCACTCTGAGCTCACCTACAGGTAGGATAAGGAAATATCTGTCTGCCTATATTTAATATGTGTAATCAAACAAAGTAGTCTTGAAATTATGATAACAGTGGAAATAAAGTTTTGACTACTGGAATATTTGTAAACGGGATATGACTTGCAAACTGTTCCAGTCCTTGATGAGATGGTAGTGGGAAAAGGGAGTCAACACAGGTGCAAAAGGAACAGCATAGCTATGAATTGATTTTTTTAACCCCTCCTCTACAGACACCACTGCTTTTTTTTTGTAAAAAAAAAACAGCTGTGTTTGGTTATAAGAAAAACTTTGTGAATCCAAGAGTTCCTGTCTCAGTCTCAGCTTCATTAGATTCACAGAAAACTCCATGGCCTGCTCTGATGGAACAAAAAATCAGCTCTGAATATCAAAAGCAATGTTAGGAGAGCATGTTTGCCATAGTTTGAGCTGGCTTGAGAAAAAAGGCACCAGTGGAGGAGAAGCGTTTCTGCCACACTTCTTGTGGCTTTTAATGCTGGAAAAGAGTTGCACTATGATGGAGCTTAAAAGCAGATCCTTTAATTAAGCAGCAGCCCATTGAAACTGGTGGAAGAGTTTTGTTTAATTTTAGTGAGTGCTAGATCTGGCCTGGGATGAATTCTCCTGGGATAAGATTTCCTCCCAAACTTGCCAGTTTAGTTTTATATTTGGGGGGTTTATCACATTTAATGTTACATTTAGTTTATAGAATGCACTTCGGATACATCAGCCAACCCTTTTTAAAGTATTTAGTTCCATCCAGTATATTCTTGCCAGTGCATTCCTCTGTCAGCTTGTCTAACCCTTGACCAAAAAAACTAGATAAGATTTTAGTGACATATGTTGAGAATTGTTTTGGCTCCAAGATGATAAATTTTGCATGACCTGCTTTGCAAATCCCACAACAAACTAACTTATGGATTTCATGCCTATATTCAGATCTGCACAACTGAACCCAGAGGTTTATTACCCACATACACAAACTAAAGATATGTAGATGCCCTAAAGTTTGGGGCATTGTTTCTGTGATTTGCCATATATGTTAACCACCCTTAGGTTTATGACTCTGGGCAGTATACAGTATAACGAAATGAAACAAACCCAGAAATACTAAATACTAAAGTAAAATAATAATCCATGAAAAATACAATAGAAATCTACAAGTACAGGTAGTCCTCAATTTGTGACCACAATTGAGCCAAAAATTTCTGTTGCTAAGTGAACTGCTTTCTATGGAAATTGATGTGAGCTAATAAGTAGTAGGAGTAGTGTGGATGGATCCAAGGATGGACTTAGTATAAGACGCCTTCGCATATACATCTGGGTGGCTATGAAATCATACACTCTCACTAAATAACAGGGGATAGCAGTGAAATATAGAAAATGGTATCTGTTTTCTTTTGATATTGGAATATGGTGAGTACCAGTTATTTTGGGAAGAAGCCCAAAGTACACTTGGGAGGGACGCTATAGCTGCATATGAATCCATGGGTTTATTTTATAGGATGATTTGAGTTCTGCCAAATATTTGTAGTGTAAAGA